ATAGTATACGTTATCAGTAGCCATATTCTTTAAATTAAAATAGTAGATAGATAAGATTTATTTTTATTTAATTTGGAGTAATTTGATTTTTTTTTTTCCAAATAAAAGGAGAAATAAATTTATTTATCACTGTTGTATGTGAAATTGAAATTATGTGAAATTGAAATCTATATGAAATTCTGATTGGCTAATTTTGAATTTCACATAAATTTCATTTTTCACCAAAAAAAATTTTTTTTCATAATATTCAAAAAAAAATAAAAAATATTTGTAACACAAAAGATAAAAATCAGTACCGCTAAATAAGTATTAGTAGTGGTAGTGATTATAATTATGACATGATTATTTTTAATACAAATAATGGTATTTTTTTTATTTTATTTTTATATTAAAATAGTAAAAGTAGTTAAGTAATAGTTAAGTAAAAGTAGATAGATAGTAAAAGTAAATTGTAAAATATATTTCTTAGAAGGAACAAATCTTAGATCATACCTAATCTCATAAATATTCCATAGAATTATTATATAATAATAAATCAATAAACGCATGATTTGATTTTTTATATGTTTTTTCACCTTAATTTGATTTTGATTTTGATTTGATTTTATTTTTCTTATAATGATTAAAAATTACTTTTCATTATTGATAGAGACTATAAAGAAAGAAGCTGATGCAAATTAAAATTAATATGGCGGTGTCGCTGCTACAGATGATGATTGTGTGACTGACGATGCATCAGTTGATATATCATTGTTGTTGTTATAACGTAAAAGAGCGACAATGGTATTCTTTTCCGAACAAGTTAATATCTTGTTTTGTATAATCATCATACAGGCAGCATCCCAATCCTGATTATTGGTATTATGGCCATTTTTTGTTGATTTTGCACAATTGTATGCTTCTTTTATAGCCGCTGCCACAACGCGAGCACGATTTGCGTCATTTTCTGCAATGCAACATAACTCATTGTCATCATGGTTGTCGTGGCTTTTGCTGATTATATCTTTAATCGCTTGAATCGATAATGATGTGTTTAACTGTAGAGACTAAATGAAGGAATTGGAGAGAATTGAGTAAGCGAGCGAACGAACAAGAAATTAATTGAAATTGAAGAGAAATTTAATAATAATAATAATTAATAATATTACTTACATTCATAATTTTTTCTTTGGTGAAAAATAAAAAATTTTAAAGCTTTATTATAAAATAAAATTACAATTATAGCAAACAATAATATAATTTATTTATAAAATATAAAAAATTTTGAAAAAACAAAAATGACAAATGCCAATTACTGTATATATTTATATAATGAATAGATGGTGGGAATGCGGTAAAGAATGAATGTTATGGTATAGCCTAAAAAAATAAATTTGGATAAATTGGAAATAGGAAAATAATTTTTCATTTTAACAATTTCTTACTGCTTTTAATAAAATTTTGATTTTTTGCTTATTATTGTTGTTCATTCTGATTGATTTTGAATTGTTACAATCAGTAAATATTATTTTCTTTATTAATAAATTGTAAACCAGATCAATCTAGACCCTCGTAAGTCACTTCATTGTTTATTAACGTCCGAATATGGAATCCCTTTATTATTGTGATATTTCTAATAGTAAAAAAAAATTTACTAAATTGTGTGGAATATAAATAAAAAATAATATAAACCGTATATTTTTTCGTGGAACATTTTATTTCATTTTTCCTATTTGTTAATATTAACCATTCTCTCGTGTCTATTGTCATGAATTCCTCCTCTATTCTTTTTATCCTGCTCTTTCTAAAAAAAAATTTTTTTTTAATTTAAATTAACGAATTAGACGTCGGACTATATTGTTTTTTGTTCATAAATTATATTCTGCTGCTGCTGCTGTTAATTTGATAATAATGACTTTGTTACAAATTATTATTACCGGTTCTCATTTTTTGTCCATATCAATGAAAAACTCTCGGTGATTAGTTAATCCATTACTAAATCGAAAAAAATTATAAGTTCAAGAGTCTGGAATGTTTTTTTTTTGAGTCAAAATATAACCATATTTATTCATAATATGAACATATAATAAGATATTTTTTCCAATATATTTATATTGATAAATCAATTCACTTATAATGAGAAAAAAATTTTTGGTGCTTTGGTTAATTTATCATTAGATCTGGACTTTTTTTTTTTTTGAGCCATATTTATATGTGAGTATGGCGTGTTAATATTATTATGTAGGAATAGCGGTGTTTATGTAATTGGTGTGTTACATTTTTGTTCTTTTAATAACAAATGCAAATCATCACGAAGGAAATAAACAAACAATCAGTTTTACAACTTACACAAAGGGACATTTTTCCATGCTATATATATATTAATATCTGGTATTTACCATAAAAAATCAAAGGTCTAGAATATTCATTTTTATATTTACACGTGAGCTACCTAAATAATAATTCATTTGTCACGTCCCTCCGAACAGTCTTGGTATTATTTATTTATTTATTATTATTATTATTATTATTATTATTATTATTATTATTATTATTATTATTATTATTATTATTATTATT